TCCCCCGGAACGCGGCTGTCAACGGTGAGCCGGTGCTGACAGGAAAACGGCAATCGGTTTAAATCATCGCCAACGCGTTCGTGTGTCGTACAACGGTAACGTAATCTAGTCGAAATCCCCTTACAACTTCGTACCCATCAACAGGTCTTAGAAGGGCGGGGAGTTCAAGCGCATCTTGGGCCCTTTATTGAGCCGCAGTATCTGCATAGACTTACAAAGACTTTGGATGTGGCAAAGCTCCAAATAGAGGCAAAACTGCACTTTTGGGATGACATCACTGCCGAAAGGCGCCCCCGAGGCCTGAACGTTAGCAATTTCACCAGATCTATGCAGAAATAGTCAATCAACATCAGAAGCGACCAACGCCTGCTTTTTTGTAAATGATACATGCGTGGCTTGGATGCCAAATCCGCAAGCGCAGAAACAAACGGGTACCCGTTGGTACAACTTTGTTGAAACCCGACTCAAACCCACGTGCAGCATAAGGCGCGCTAAATCGGTGGCCTGCAAACGCGTGAAGTCAGCTGGGTAAGGATCGTTTCCCTGGTTTGGAGTGCGCTGTCAGGCAGCCCAGTCTTTGATTCTGCTTTTACGCCAGTAAACGGACCACACTCCTCAGCTACAGATGTAGCGGAGCCTCCACAGTACATCTCTTACCTGCACACAGGCGCTTTTCCCTACGGAAAATTCTTATGCCTTACAGTAGGCATCCTGGCTCATCCTGTTTGCATGAAGAAGGCTTTTGTCAACTTGCTTCTTCCTTTTTATTTTATTTTTTTCTTTAATAAAACATTCATCTCCCGTCTTAATATACTTTCAGGTAGAAAGTAGAAGAAAAGATTGTTACAAAAAGGTCTTCACGTAGTGCATGTAAACAGCAACAAATATGTAAACATCAGATTTCCTCTCCTGAGATATCCACACTTCATTTTTGTCTCTTCTTATTCATATATTCATCCACTATAAATCCATCTATTCATTAATCTATAATTCTGTAACTGCCCAGCAGGTTACCAAACCCTAAATGCCCTTAAAACAAGGAAGTGTAATGGAGCATTCATTCAGTTGATTTCACTGGATACTTGTTTTCATTGAAAACTGGATTCATCATATAAGCCGTGAATTTTTAATCCGCTCTCTGATCAACTGTTGCAGAACAGCTAAGGAATCTGTTATGAGGATCAACTTAAAAACGCAGGCACTCAGACCTGTGATGATCTTCAACCCCTTCAATGCCCTTCAACCCCAAAGTACATTTGAAAAATGCCAGCACATCCTTTTTCTTCTAAAAACCGATACAGCTGCCCCAAATCCATATGATTTCCTCTGGCACCATGTGCATCAAAACATTTTTCTTCCAAAGTGGAGAACTTTCTTTGTTTCTGAATCTCGGCATGCCCACCACCTTCCAAAGAAACATCTTCTCTGTGCCGAATGAGAATTCTTTTCCACGTTAATTTTCGTACTCTGAAAGCAATTGGAGAAATATGAATCTATAAAATACAGGCTGTTTTTGAAAATACTACGAAATAGCTATTATCATAAAAGTCAATAAATTCCATGTGTACATACATGCTGACAGAGATAACGGTTCCCTAGTTGGTCATAGAAATACTACTTACAGGTAAACACTCCCATAAGCAGGAGCTGGTTTCTTTCTACCTCCCTGGGATTCAAAAACCTTAATGTTATCCCTCACATAATAATTGATGAAGGTGTGGTTTTGATTTCAGTGCTCACTTCAGCCTTGTGTGCGCTAAGAATTCTCATACTGTCTTAGCTGTTATAATCAAATGGCAATGTTCATTTAGTCTGCACCACCCAGAAGTATAAATGATGGGAGCGGAATAAAACACAAATGTAAGGCGATATAACAGCATACGTATCTAACACAACTGACGTACTGCAGTCCATCACTATATAACTGAAACACAGAGCAAGGTAAAACTGAAATAAATGTGCACCGTGCATTACTAGTAGCTTTGATCGCTGTAACCAACAGTACGGTGGATATTCAGAGTTGTAACTACATTATGATAAACACAAATACTTCACAGACTTTTATAGGTTGGAAAGTGGTTGTATTTCCCACCTTCTGGCCACATACACAATGTGAAACATATAATATTCTAACTACTAATGGCATTTGAGTACAAAGAAAAACTGACCTTGACCAGAACTCTTCACAACTACTTTGTAGACCTTCTACACAAACAACACCTGGTTTCCCCGGCATGCAAAACCCTGACAGAGAGAGCTCCTTGGCCCAGTCAATAATATTCTTTCTTTTTTGCTTGTTGTAAATGTGATGACTATAGATCCACAATCGAGTGAACGTGGTGTCTTCTGACTGCACGGCATGTGATGTTGTCACTGAGGAAGATGAAAGCTCTTTATCAATGTAAGCAGCTGCATGGTCTTTAACCCATTCCCTTGCACTCAACATGCAGGGCTCACCGCTGCAGTTTTGCATCAAATATGTTTTTAGGTCAGAATTCAGGTGAATCTGCTGAGAGCGGCTTAACAATGATGACCTAAAGAAAAAGAAAAATATAAATGCAGTTGCAATATGCTTACAATTTAGCATGTTTTTCAAAGTTTTACTTCAAGCTGCCAAAAAAACAGGCCATATTTAGATAGTATGCACTTGCTATTGATACTTAAGTTATATTAGCTATGAAAACATCTTAACTGGTATTTAATTGGTGTGCTAACTCTTGAGTTCACATATAGTACTACCGATCTGTAAATCAAAATCAAGAAAAAGGTACTTGAAAAGTAAGTACGGTGGCTGAACTAACTTCCTGTAACATGCAAGGTAGTTTCTTTAAACAGAAATGTTCCAACGAAAAAATAACAGAAGCCTGGGAGTAACAGCACTTTGACAAAAGAAGAATAAAACCATTGACTAACTTTCACTCCTTTAGTTAACTGTCAAGCCTTGTCAAAATGGGCAACAGCCTCCTTGAGCATCAGACCTATGAAGAGTATTATGCATGTAACCCCTCTGTACAGAAGATGGCACTCCTCCATGCTTCTCCCATTTCTCTCACTTATTTGCTGAGGACACTTTGGAGATTTCATCATAACCTTGGAGATTTGTTATTCTTCAACACTGATGTCCATCTGGCTTAATTTGACAGTAAGCTATCCAAAAAAGACTGCTTTTCCCCCTTATAACTGTATTTATGTAGTATACCTGAGCTTCTAAATGTTTTTATTATCTGTACTTTTAATGCCATACCTCACAGTAATTTCTGGTAGGACTGTTGGATATTTTAATGGTAAGGCACAGGCCATAGAGAATTCCACCTAAAAACAAATCATCAAATGTTTAGTTCAAGTAAGCCCTAAAATCATACAAAATAAAACCAAAAATTAAAAAAAAAAAAAAGCGTTTACGATACCATAGCGGCATTAGAGACCTCTGGCTTCACATTCAGTATAAACTGAACTTTGGAAGATGGCATCTCTGCAGACTCATTTTCAACATAGTGCTTTAGTTCTGCCAGAGCCACCTGGTCCGTCACAATGAACTCATCCTCATAAGGAAACATACTGGAGAGCAAATCTAATTCCGAAATTTGTATCTCGGCTTCTTCTCGGTGAGTCATTTCTGTTCTTTCCTAAGCCAAGGAGAAACGGGGGAAGAAAAACAGGGCTCGAATACGGGGCAAAGTTCATTAACCACCCCCACGTAAACCTTATCAATCATTATAACCGAGCCCCATCAACACCAGCTCCTGTACGCTGGGCAGTTAGCAGCCTGAAGGCACTTCTGTGACAACCCAGGAGGTCTCCATTGACCTGAGGTGGGCCGGGACGCGATGGCGCGTCAGCCGAACGACTTTCTCTCTCACAGGGCCGCCCACCTGGGGCGGGGGCGCGGCGGTGTACGGTAGCGCACCCGGGGAGCCTCCACGCCCCCGCCGAGCAAGCCCGACCCCGGCCGGTAGCAGCCCACTACATCGGGCTCCCACCGGCACCCTCCCCGGC